TCCCGCCCGTCTGCCCGGCCCCGCCCGAGCTCGCCCGGACCCCGCCGCCCACCGCCCTCGCGCCCACCTGAGCCCGCGACCGGCGCCATGGCGGAGCAGGAGAGCCTGGAGTTCGGCAAGGCGGACTTCGTGCTGATGGACACCGTCTCCATGCCCGAGTTCATGGCCAACCTCAGGCTCAGGTGAGGGCGGAGCGGCCGCGCGCGGGGCCGCGGGCTGCGCTTCCCGAGAGGGGGCGCCTCTGCGGTGCTCCCTGACGAGGGTGTCGGGGCGCGCGGGTGCCGGGGCTCGCCCTTCCGACAGGGCTGTCCTGGTGCCGTCCCGAGTGGGGCGAGCGCGCTGCCCGGCCAGGTGAGGGTGTGGGCGGGGCGGTGACCTCATGGAAACAAAGTGAAGGGAAACTTCGGGAGCGGCGTGGTGGCTCCCACGGCCCTCCGAGGACAAGGGCGGTTTTGGAGAGAGGCTGGTGTGTCATCCTGGTCGCTGCTTTTGCTTTCTTCCTTGCTTTCTGTCTTCTTTTTATTTACTTATTTCCCTGGCCTGGTTCCATCTTGTCATTTCGGATGCTGTAGAGTAGTCCCTGAGCTGCCTGTTCCGGGACACTGGCTACGTTTTAGTTACTCTCTAAGCGCAATTAGACACGTTTCCAGACATCGAAGAGACTGCCCTGCTTGCCAGTGCCAAGATAAACTGTCTGAATTTGACAAGGCGTTCATGGTTTTAGTTTTTTCAAGGAGCTATGGATGGAGCCCTTGTGTTACTGACATCCTTGAGATCGCAGTCACTCAACACCCCAAGATGCGCTTCCAAGACCAAGTCGTTTTTGAAGTTCTTCCACATGTGATTATTTCACTCTTGATAGAGTAATTTGTAAGCAGAGCTTTAAAGTAATCTGACTGTGTTCTTAAATATTGCAGTGAATGGAATTTCAAAATAGCTGAGTTTTGGTGTGTCTGTGTGTTTTCCGGAAAGCTTTGACTCCGTTTCTTGTAAGGTTTAAAGCGAAACACCACTTCTTAAACCCATAAAATAAAAATCATAATCTAGATTTGGGTGCGTAACTAACCCACCTCTCGGTATTATATGCCCCGTCAACCCTAATTTAAGAATTTTTAAAGTTGGGTATTGGGTGGTGGCTCAGTAGAAAAACGTGACACTCTGTGGGGCTGACCCTCCTGGGAAGGTTGCCCAGTTCAGGTCCTCAGACCTCCCTGAGTACTTACACAGGCCTCAGATGTGCCTATGACCTGTGCTGACTGAGGCTGGGTGGGGATCATGGCATCAAGACCCTGTTAGGGATGTGTGTGTATGTGACTCATGAATAAATACACTTCAAAATTGCTTTTTTAAAAAAGAATGTTTAAGACTAGTTTAATCTTTGAAATTGCAAATCTCATAGAGTCGTCACCTGTTCTGGGACAAGTTTCCTTATGTTGCAATGTGTAGAACAGGAGCTCAGACCAGAACTCTATACCTGGCTACTACAAACTGACCTTAATTTGGTGTGCCTGAGTTGCCTAATTTGTTAAACTATGAAATCCACAAGATTTCTTTACATGCTCATATTCTAAATTTTCTATGTGTAGGCAGTCTCAAAGTTGGACATTATCTTTTGGAAAGTGTTGCAAAGTAAAATAATACAATCAGATTTATTACATACACAATGTTATGATAGGATGTTATAATTCTGATCAAATTTTGATTGGCAGACTTTTATAGAAATGTCCTCATACTTCTCAATCAGAATGACACACTTCTGTGTCAGCTATGAAAAATACCCACCACTGTAGTGGCTAAGAGATCGTTGAGATTCAAGTTCTAATTCTACCACTTTCTTGCAGTGGTCCTTGGGTAAGTTACTTAACCTCTCTGTGCCCTAGTTTTCTTATCTGTAGAATTGGGACTGTCCTGAGAGTTAAATCAGTCAATATTTGCCACATAAAAGGTATTAGTGCCAGACTAATACCTCCAGGTTGAACATCCCTAATCTGAAAATTCAAAATCTGAAATGCTCCCAGATCTAAAACTTTCTGAATGTCAACATGATGCCACAAGTGGGAAATGGTACACTTGACCTCATGTTGACAAGTTGCAGTCAAAATGCTGCTATACAAAAATATTGTGTAAAATTACCTTCCGGCTACGTGTAAAAGATGTGTATTAAATTTTAAATTTAGACTTGGATCCCATCCCCCAAATATTTTATTATGTATCTGCAAATATTCCAAAAATCCAAACAATTCTGAAATCCCAAACACTTCTGGTCCCAAGCATTTCAGATAAGAGATGCTCAGTTTGTATTCACTGTACTGTTTAAAGTTTTCTCAAATGCAGGACCAGCAGAAGGCATGTTGGTTGTGTTGCTGGACTCTAACTTGGTTGGCTGTGGTTCAAGTCCCAGACCTAGTGGTTTAAAAAAAAATCTCACACACTGTGTGTGTGGTTGGCTGTGGTTCAAGTCCCAGAGCTAGTGGTTTAAAAAAAATCTCACACACTGTGTGTGTGTTCATATGTGCCCAGGATCCTGAGAGGAGAACGGAGGAGAGGGGACTGTGGCCTGGCCATCCCCCTAGACAGTGATTTCTCACTTTCTGTTTCTCTGCCTCTCTAGTGAGTGCACAGGCCCTATAGCAAAAGTCTCTCTTAAAAAAAAAAAACAAAAAGTTTCCCCAAATGCATGTGAAGCAGATGAAGGGTTAAGTTAAATGGCAATTGTATACATTAAGGTTGTTTTAAATTATTTGAAGAGATCCTACCCTCTCCCCAGAAAAGAAGCTGTGTGGTTTGAGAAATACCATCATAATGTAGTCACTCTGAGCTTGTAATCATTTCAGTTTATCAGATATTAAGCATATACTGCATGCAAGACCCTATAGTAATAGTTGAATATAGAGCCATTAATTTTAACCTCCGTTTGTCCCTTCCAGTAAATAAATTACATTAGCCAGAGCTTTGTAGGATTTTTAGAATTGGAAATTAAAAGGTTAATATCTGAGTTACGTGTATTAGGTAGGACTATTTCTCTGCAGTAGAACTAACATATGACTCTTTAAAAGTGAACGGGGGGCGTGGGAGACAAGCAGATGGCGTAAGACTATGTCACTGGACTCCCATGTAGTTGACCACGGTTTGAGTCCTGGCCCGGTGGCTTAAACTCACGCCAGGCCCATGTGCATGTGTGCCCAAGATCTTGAGAGGAGAGTGGAGGAGAAGGGATTGCAGTGTGGCTATCCCCCCCGGGGGGGGGGGGAGGGTGATTTCTCACTTTCTGTCTCTCTGTCTTCCTGGCAAGTGCATGTGCCCAATAGCAAACCACCTCCCTAAATAAATAAATAAATAAATAAAAACCATGAACTGGGGGAGGGCACTTAGAATTTTTTTTAGGGTTTCTCATATCGTTTGTTGCACAGTCTTTAAGTGTGAGATTTGAATATTAAGATAGATTACTAAGGTGAGCCTAATATAAACTAAGTGCTCAGAACACTGCAACTTAGTTTCACTTTGTACGAGATATTCTAAAAGATAAGGTTGGAGAACCCAAAGAACAAGAGATAGACTTCTTACTGCTCCAAGAGGTGGCATGTCAGTGAAGACAGGGCAAAAAATGAAAATGCTATCGGTTTAAAAAATAGTTCAAGAGAAGAAGAGGTAGGCCTTATAGAGCTTAGAAACTTGTTTGCCAAGTAATGATACAAGTAATTGTTCTGGAAGTTCAGACAGAAGAGGGAGAGATGCCTTAGGTTGACTCAGAAACACTGTATAGAAAAGGAGTTGGGCCGAGTCTAAAAGGATGGGTAGGATTTGTCTAGGTGGACATGTGGGAGGAGAACATTCCAGGTCGATAAAGTGGTATGAGCAGAGGTTGATGTGTAAAAGTTGACTTTGGGTGGTAATGAGTAAGCTAAGTTGTCTGCAGGGGAAGGAGTTGGATGGGAGAGCTGTGGGAGGAATCCCCCCACCCTGGGAGCACAATCCTTGGGTAAGGCGTAGTAGGTCTTTTTAGATTTTGGGAGAGGTTTTTGCTATAGGGCACATGCGCTCACCAGAAAGACAGAGACAGACAGAGAGACAGAAAGCAAGAAATCACCCCCCAGAGGGGATAGCCATGCCACAATCCCTTCTCCTCTTGGGATCTTGGGCACGCACACACACGCACCCGGCGTGGGTTAAAGCCACCAGGTCCAGTACTTGAACCATGGTCAACTACATGGGAGTCCAGTGACATAGCCATTATGCTAACTGCTAGTCCCAAGGCCTAGGTTTTTAGGTCTGCCTTTATGCCCAGTCACCATACCAGTCACGATTCTGGGTGTTCAGAAGTATGTATATACTTGCATGCATCTCATCTGTTTGAGTACTTGTGACTTCTGAGAATTATCTGCAATTCTCATTGTCCAGATTGGGGATTTTTCATGACCTTGATATAATAGGTTAGAGGAGTTGCTTCCCTAGAAAGGGTAAGACTTTTCTCTCCCCTCTAGCTGTAAATCCTGACCTAGGTTAAAAGTAGACCTCTGGGATCCAGCAGGTGGCATGGTGGTTAAGGCACTAGACACTCCCACATGGCCCACCATAGTTCGAGTCCTGGACCTGGTGGCTTGCTTTCTTACTTTCACTCTCTTTCTCTCTGTCTCTCTGGTCAAATTAAAGTGAACGAATGAATAAATAAAATTAAATAATTATTATTTTTTTAAGAGAGTGGTTTATTTTTATTTTTATCTTTTTTGCTATAGGGAGATTGTGCTCTCCAGAAAGACAGAGAGAAACAGACAGAAAACAAAAAATCACCCCCCATAGTGATGGCCATGCTGCAATCCCTTCTCCTCCATTCTTCTCTTGGGATCTTGGGCACACATATGCCTGGGCCTGGCATGAGTTTAAGTTGCCTGGTCCAGGACTCGAACTGCAGTTGACTACGTGGGAGTCCAACGACATAACCATTACACCATTTGTTGGTTCCTAAATAAATAATTTGTGGGAAAAAAAAAAGTAGACCTCTCTTTCATAGTTTAACTTTCACACTGTCCTGATGTCCCTCCAGGCTAGCTTAGCGTTCAGCTGCATGAGTGCTTGTGCTCATGCTGTAGTCCTTTGGTTATGTGTCTCACGTGACAGAAGGCATCCGGAAACCCACCACTGCAGACCCAGCTGCTCTGTGGCATGTTGAAGTGATGGTCAGTCT